GGGATTTAACTCCAAAATGGCCAAGATATGAGCAGTGAGACTGCAGGGGCATGATCTATTCACAAAAACAGTTTCATTAAGCTAAAGTTGTTTTGGTGACTATAGTGTCCCTTTAATGCTTCTTGGGGCGTGCATAAAACATGTGATGAACAAATTAGCAAATTAAAAGCAGTTGTCATAATGGAATGAGATATAGTAGTATAGTATGCGTACAGTATGTTTTATGTCCCCTGACAAATGGCCATAATACACCAGCTAAATAAATCAGTTGCATTTATATACGAATACTCAGACACAAAATATAGATTAAATATCCGTGGTCTTTTAAATACAATTCTATATATTCAAAAAGAGAGCCTTGCCAGCATGGCATATAATTCAGAATGAAATCTGTGTCTGCAGTAAAGCTGTCAATTGGATTTCTATATTGCGTGCCCCACTACCTAGCATTAAGTTTTACTTTGATTGCCATTGAACACCAGTCAATAGCCTTGTAATTCCATGGGCTGTTTAATCAATATATGAAGGGGGGTATAATTGCAGTAGAAATTTAAGAATTACAGAGGCAAGGGTTTATTATCATGATAACCTTTCAGCTACTAATTCAATGCCATTGAAAAGCAAAGAAATTAAAGGCAAGAGTTGACCCCTTTTTTTTTTTTTAAATCAATGCATAAATAATGCATTCAAATTTGCAAATAAATATATAAAATAACACTTCCTCAAATGTCCAATAGTACCCTGCAACTGCGTTGGTACCAAAACTTGCTTTCACATAATGTTATGTCCTGACTTACACCCCCCCCTTTTTCTTTTCTGTACCCCACCCCCCCTGATTCCAGGTGAAAAACCTACAAATAAAGAATTTAAAAAAATATATATATATAAAATAAAAATAATAATAATAAAAAAATAATTATTCTTGACAATAAAATTTGATCTGTCGGACATATTTAACCCAGTACTCCAGAGATTAAAGTTTGTGTGTAGGGATGGGTAATTAGCAGATTTCAAAGTTCTCTGTGTACAACCTCAGTATTGCTTGGAGCAGGGATTTACGGGACTTAAAAACTTAGGGCTTACAGTCGATGCAGAATGAGCTGCGGTCTATTCTTGCAATTCTGACCATATAGAGTTATTTTCACTGTATAGTGATTTTGGGTGAGTTGCGAGCGGAGTATCAAATTAAGGCAAAAATATAAAAATCCTATGACTCATTCTCAAATTGCTTGTTTATCTACCATGCCTATTTTTCCTAAATGTATTCATTTTTAAAGTAGGTTGTCAAATCACAGACTAAATGTTACAGTATTTTTCATAAACTATTGTTTTCGGACATTCTCTACTAGTTTAAGATGGGTTGTTTACTCTAAAATAATAAACTGGGGTGAGCCACCAGTAAAATTGGGCAAAAAGACTGTTTTGGAAGAATTTTCTCAACTCTGCTATTTTGTAGTAAGATTTGCAACGGTGCTGTGAATTCACTACAATTCACAGTTGAGCTAAAAAAAACATTTGGCAGCAACCCAACACGTAAATGTATTCAGACACGGTCAAGAGGTTGAGTTATTCTTCAAACCAATCATTTGAATGGAGACGAAATGTGATCTAAGTGACCTTGACCGTGGATGTATGTTGGTGTGAGTCCTGGTGGTTTATCTCAGAAACTGCTCATCTCCTGGGATTTTAGATAGAATGGTGTGAGAAGGAAAGCAACATTCAGTAAACAGCAGTTCTGTGGCCGAAATAGCCTTGTCAAAGAGAGAGGTCAGGAGAGGATGGTCAGAATAGTTCTAGCTGACAACAAGTCAACAATGTGTGCAATAACCTATTATTACAAGTGGTCCATGTAGAAGAGCTGCTCTGTTCGCAAACCATGTCGAACCTTGAAATAAGCAGTAAAAGACCACAACAGGTTCAAAAATTTAAGAGATATTACCTGGTCTCACGTTTAGATTCCTCCTGTAAAATGGTTAGGTCAGAATTTGAAATAAACAAAAGGATTCCTTAATTCCCTCCTGCCTAGTGTCAACAGTTCAGTTTAATATTAATTTAGAATTGTTTAAATGCCACAGACTTCCTGATTACTCTATCTGACCATATGGACTACTTTATGGCCACATAAAGGAATCCATATGGATTCTACGGTCTACTTCCAGAATTAAAAACGCACCGTTTCCACAAAACTCACAACATCTCAAGATGGGTCCTCAAACCTGACAATGAGTTCAGAGTATTCCCAAGGTCTCCACAACCACCAGATTTCAATCCAATACAGCCCCTTTGGCATGTGATGCAAGACGTTATTTACAGCACAAATATGCAGTAGATACATTTTTAGCAATTGTTTGATGCTTTGGTTAAACGTTCCTGAACCTTGTTGTAAGCATGCCATAAAGAATTCAGGCTGTTTTAGAGCAAAGGGGTTGGGGTGGGGGTTACATCCAGTATAAAGGGGTACCTAATAAAGTGGCCACTTAGTGTATAATCTACTAACTAAACAGATAGAATTTTTTTTTTACTAAACCAGCAATTACAGAAGTGATTAGATAATTCCATATTTTACGAGAAAACTTAACAAAACCTCCTGTTTAGCTTTTCCCCCCACATGAGCTGTTTTTGGCCTATTATTTTCAATAATTCAGTTCTCCGTTTCTCAATTAAGGCAGTTCTTCGTTTCTCAATTTAGTGAATAAACCCCCACTGTGTTACTTATACTGCGATATATTCTAATGCTACATATGTGCTGAACACGCAGTAATGTGTGCCAGCGTCAGCGTGTGTACAACATCTCCCGCAGTCTGGACTGGGTGAATATAAAACGATGACGAAAGATTCCTGGAATTTCTTGCTGAATCACTGAAATCGTCTGAACGAGGGCAGGCGCTGCCAATGCTGAGCAGTCAAAGTATTACACACTGTCTAACAAGCCAGCCAGCGCAAGTCAATTCTTACAGCACTCTAAAACATCATTTAGAGAAGGGACGTCCAACTGCAAAACTCAATTTATTGATGGATTACCACTCCCACAACCATCGAAACTCTGGCTACAAATATCAGAACCTTGACTGGCAGAGTATTCTAGGAGTTGGAGTTAATTCAAAGCTTTAACTATTTGTACACTAGAACATATAATATCACAAACACACACACACACATTACTAACAACTTAATGGGGGAGATGGCTATTGAAAGGCTAAGCTATATATCAGGGGTAGGCAACCTTCGGCTTACATGGCCCATGGTGCTTTGCCAGCATCATAGGCGTGCGCAGCCTATTTCATTCGTTTGTGTACACTAAAGCACAAACACACGCCGCATGTGTGTATATATCACATCACACTAACAGCAGCCTCACACACACACATAAATTCACTGCTGTTTGTGCGCTGTGTAAGGGTGCTGTGTGTATGTGTGTGTGTGTGAGGGTGCTGATAGTGTGATGTGTGTGTGAGGGTGCTGTTAGTGTGATGAGTGTGTGAGGGTGCTGGTAGTGTGCTATGTGGGTGAGGGTGCTGTTAGTGTGATGTGTGTGAGGGTTCAGTTTGTGTTTGAGGGTGCTGTTTGTGTGCTGTGTGTGAGGGTGCTGGTAGTGTGCTGTGTGTAAGGGTGTTTGTGTATGTGTGTTAGAGTCCTGCTGGTGTGCTGCGTGAGGGTGCTGTGTGTTTGAGGGTGCTGTTAGTGTGCTGTGTGTGAGTGTGCTGTTTGTGTGAGGGTGATGTGTGTGTTTGTGAGGGTGCTGTTAGTGTGCTGTGTGTGAGGGTGTTGTGTGTTTGTAAGGGTGCTGTGTGTGTGTGTGTCTGTGAGGGTGCTGCTAGTGTGCTGTGTGTGAGGGTGCTGTTTGTGTGCTGTGTGTGAGGGTGTTTGTGTATGTGTGTTAGAGTCCTGTTATTGTGCCGTGTGAGGGTTCTGTGTGTGTGAGGGTGCTGTTTGTGTGATGTGTGTGTGAGGGTGCTGTTTGTGTGCTGTGTGTGACTGTTCTGTTTGTGTGAGGGTGATGTATGTGTTTGTGAGGGTGCTGTTAGTGTGCTGTGTGTGAGGGTGTTGTATGTTTGTAAGGGTGCTGTGTGTGTGTTTGTGAGGGTGCTGTTAGTGTACTGTGTGTGTGAGTGTGATGTGTGTGTGTGTGTGTGAGGATGCTCTGTGTGTGAGGGTGCTGTATGTGTGCTGTGTGTGTGTGGGTGTTGTTTGTGTGAGGGTGATGTGTGTGTTTGTGAGGGTGCTGTTAGTGTGCTGTGTGTGAGGGTGTTGTGTGTTTGCAAGGGTGCTGTGTGTGTGTGTTTGTGAGGGTGCTGTTAGTGTACTGTGTGTGTGTGTGTGTGTGTGTGTGTGAGGGTGCTGTATGTGTGCTGTGTGTGTGGGTGCTGTATGTGTGTGGGAGTTGTTTGTGTGCTGTGTGTGAGGGTGTTGTGTGTGCGCGCTATTTGTGTTAGGGTGCTGTGTGTGTGTGGGTGTGTGGGTTCTGCATGTGTGTGTGTGCTGTATGTTTGGAAGGATTGTGAAGGTGGGGGCAGATTAGTAAATATCCCCCCTCCCTTCTTACCTTATGTAGGGAGGGGGGATCCTTGCTGCCATATGCCATCCCTGGAGGTCCAGTGGAGAGTGAACTCTAGCCTGCGGGGCTAGAGTTCACTCTCGCGAGAGGAACCTGGCGGAGCTTCTGTCTAGAGCTCCCGGGTCCTCTGCTGCCAGCTTCCATGGTGTTGTGGGCCAGTGAGGTAGATCTGTGATCTCCCGCCAGCCCATGAAGGCTTAGAGCAGAGCTGGCACTCAGAGCATGAGCCGACAGGGGAGATCTGGAGATCTCCCCTGCCGGCAGGGGTCAAGTCCTGGGGAATAAAGTGTGGGAACTCTCCCAAGATTCCCACCACCCCAAACAAAAATAATATACACTCGTGTGTATATATATATATATATATATATATATAAAAAAGAAAAGATCTCTTGCACTCACGCTATAATAGTCCCTTGTTTGCCGGGTGCTAAGCCAGGGTTTAGTTATCCAGAAATCCAAAAAGGTGGCAGCACTCACGGAATTAAAAGTTCTAATCTTTATTTGTTCATGTTAACATGAACAAATAAAGATTAGAACTTTTAATTCCGTGAGTGCTGCCACCTTTTTGGATTTATACATATATATATAAATAAATACAAGTGCACACACACTGACACACATACACAGACACACACATATATATATATATATATATATATATATACATACACGCGTACACACACACACACAAACATACTCAGATACACACACACATACATTCACAGACACACACACACACTTACAGACACACACACATACATTCACTGATACACATACACACACACACTTACAGACACACACTTACAGACACACACATACACTTACAGACACACACACATACATTCACAGACACACATACACACACACACTTACAGACACACACACACTTACAGATACACACACATACATTCACAGACACACACACACACTTACAGACACACACACATACATTCACTGATACACATACACACACACACTTACAGACACACACTTACAGACACACACATACACTTACAGACACACACACATACATTCACAGACACACACACACACACACACATACATTCACAAACACACATACACACTTACAGACACACACACAGACACTCACAAATTATAATTTTTTTTATAAAAAAAATGTACACCCAGCCTCCCTACCTGGAGAGCTGGCGTGGCCTTGTCCCTGGGCTCCAGTGGGTCGGGAGCCTATCTCCATATCACAAGCGGTGAGGGAGCTGTGTCCTCTCTGCTCCCTCGCACCGCGCGGGCTGTCTGCTGTAGCTAGGAGCCGGAATATGACGTCATATTCCGGCTCTCGGCACTAGCAGACGGCGCGTGGCGAGAGGAAGCAGAGAGCACACAGCTCCCTTGCCGCTTGTGATATGGAGATAGGCGCCCGACCGAGGGCGGGGGGTGGTGGGGAAGGATGAGGGCATTTGGGGGCGGCAGAGTGCTATTTCCAACTGGATGGCTGCTCACTTCCTTAAACTCAACCTGTCCAAAACAGAACTTCTAGTTTTTCCTCCCTCAAGTGTCACCACTCCTGTGTCTGTCTCCCTCCAAGTCAACGGCGCTACTATCACCTCTACCTCGCAGGCTCACTGCCTAGGGGTTCTTTTTGATTCTGACCTCTCTTTTACTCCTCATGTCCAATCGATAGCCAAATCCTGTCGCTTCCAACTCAAGAACAGCTCCTTGTCAGTTTCAGCCAATCCTATGGGGGAGCATTGTGATTGGATCAGGCTACCACTTCTGATGATGTCAGCAGACAGCTGTTTTTCTGAGGCAAACAGCATGCAGATCTACAGCTTCAGGCTTGAATACAGTAAGATTTTGCTATATTTATGGAGGCATGAGGGGCCCGGGGGGGCTAGATGGTGGTTTTAACACTATAGGGTCAGGAATAAATAATTGTGTTCCTGACCCTATAGTGATCCATCAATTCAGACTCGTCCCTACCCCAAGGCATATATTTCCTTATTTAATTCACTTTTTAAGACGGTCGATAGGTGTAGGCTTTGTGCCCAGCTTTTGCTGGTATTCAAATAATTTTGATAGCAGCTACAGTGTACCGTTAGATTGGTAGGACAGGGACTGTGTGCATTGCATACCTACCAAAACCTCAAATGCACAAAGAGAGACACTTTAATTTTAGGGGTGTTAGGGGTGGTGTGGCCAGGAGTAGGGCTGCTCTGAGATATTTTACGTGACTTACTGATAACTATTTATGTAACTAAAATTTAATTTAGAACAAGAACAATGTATCGTATTGACACAGACTGATTTCTAAACACATTTATTGTAGTTTAAAGACACATTACTGGGAGTATTATTGCTGTGGAGCTCTGTTATACACTCAGACACATTACTGGGAGTATTATTGCTGTGGAGCTCTGTTATACACTCAGACACATTACTGGGAGTATTATTGCTGTGGAGCTCTGTTATACACTCAGACACATTACTGGGAGTATTATCGCTGTGGGGCTCTGTTATACACTCAGACACATTACTGGGAGTATTATTGCTGTGGAGCTCTGTTATACACTCAGACACATTACTGGGAGTATTATTACTGTGGAGCTCTGTTATACACTCAGACACATTACTGGGAGTATTATTGCTGTGGACTTCTGTTATACACTCAGACACATTACTGGGAGTATTATTACTGTGGAGCTCTGTAATACACTCAGACACATTACTGGGAGTATTATTGCTGTGGTGCTTTGTTATACACTCAGACACATTACTGGGAGTATTATTGCTGGGGAGCTCTGTTATACACTCAGACACATTACTGGGAGTATTATTGCTGGGGAGGTCTGTTATACACTCAGACACATTACTGGGAGTATTATTGCTGGGGAGCTCTGTTATACACTCAGACACATTACTGGGAGTATTATTGCTGTGGAGCTCTGTTATACACTCAGACACATTACTGGGAGTATTATTGCTGTGGAGCTCTGTTATACACTCAGACACATTACTGGGAGTATTATTGCTGTGGAGCTCTGTTATACACTCAGACACATTACTGGGAGTATTATTGCTGTGGAGCTCTGTTATACACTCAGACACATTACTGGGAGTATTATTGCTGTGGAGCTCTGTTATACACTCAGACACATTACTGGGAGTATTATTGCTGTGGAGCACTGTTATACACTCAGACACATTACTGAGAGTATTATTGCTGCGGAGCTCTGTTATACACTCAGACACATTACTGGGAGTATTATTGCTGTGGAGCTCTGTTACACACTCAGACACATGACTGGGAGTATTGTTGCTGTGGAGCTCTGTTAGACACTCAGACACACCAACAATATAGAGCTCTTAGAAAAGAGAAACATTGGGATAGAAAAGAGGAACAGAGGGATTTGGGCCCAAAATAGGGACTGTCCCTCCTAAATAGGGACACGTGGGAGGTATACTATTGTGGAGATTATTATGGCTATGTAAAAATATTGTTTAAAAATCAGTTATTTGCAATATTTCATTCTTTCACTGGTTCTTGTTTATATACACGTTTGTCAGGTAAACTGCAATGAGATTTCTTTTCAAGGGGAACATGTACAATTTAAAGTTAAACCATTTATTTCTAAAATATATAACAGAATGTAAACAGAAGCAGTTATTGCCACTTATTGCGGATGGAAGTAGATCATTGAGATATTTTTAGAGATTTTAAACAGACAGTGTTTGTTTCCATGAAACATATTTTGTATTTACAGAGCTCTGCAGGAAAAGACATTTTAACTGGCGATTATTTAATAATAAAGCATTTTTAAAGGCACTCTAAGCACCATAACCACTACAGCTGTAGACAGCATCTCTTGCTTTTGTCAGACTGCTTTGAAGTGGTTAGAGAAAATAGGGGCTCTTTATAGCACTCATAAACAACTGGCGATTAAGTTGCATGAATAATTCAGAAAATACACTTGGAAATGTCAAAGTATAGTGTCTGCATTATCAGTGTGGCTATGAGGGATCTGTCTTTGGCAAAAACTAGCCAGGGTTATGCAACAAGACATATCGGCTTTACTCTCAACCCAAGAGCTCCAATGCTTTAATTTGGCGTACAATGAAGTAAGGATCTAGCCATAGTTTGACATCCATGGCATGGGACATTCCTGTCTGCATCATATCTTCTTTGACATCTTAGCAACAAAAATGTGTTATGTTCCTTAAAGGACCACTATAGTGCCAGGAAAACAAACTCGTTTTCCTGGCACGATAGGGTCATTAGGTCCCACCCACCCTCAGGGCTCCCCTCCCGCTGGGCTGAATGTGTTAAAACCCCTTTAGCCCACGAGAAGACAAGACACATAGACATTGTGTACACACAAACCAAACAGGGACCAACAAAGGGGGGCAAAGACGAAATAGGTATACCGACAATCCTCAAGGGAACAGAAGGGATAAGACGACGTGAACACAAAACATATCCCTAAGACATTCACAGGGTCCCATGAGTCCTCACGATATCGAGGGCCGGGGAGCCCGCTACGAACAAAAGGGTATATGACCAACATGACCTGACTGCCCTACCAAGAGGCGGACCTGTGGGTCCCAAGACCTTGGCTGTTACACAACCTTACCTGATCCACGCTTTCACAATAGAGGTAATAACACACACATATCTTTAAAACGTAGAGATGAAAGGGACCTGTGAGTCCGACGACAATGTGGGCCTGTGAGCCCGAATGAATGTGATATTAACTCAAACTTTCAAAATGTTACATGTTAAATGCATTTGGAGACTTGCAAGTCTCACTGTTAATTAAAATGGAAAAACAAATAAAAGATTATATTCACAAAAAAAAAACCACTTTAGCCACTTACCTTTCTCGGCGCTGGTGACCCCTCCTCCCCCTGTTGACTTCAGCTCCGAATGCGCATGTGCGGCAAGAGCCGCGCGCGCATTCAAACCGCCCATAGGAAAGCATCACTCAATACTTTCCTATGGACGTCCAGCGTCTTCTCACTGTGATTTTCACAGTGAGAATCGCAGAAGCGCCTCTAGTGGCTGGATTAACCCTCAGTGAAACATAGCAGTTTATATGAAACTGCTATGTTTACAGCTGCAGGGTTAAAACTAGAGGGACCTGGCACCCAGATTACTTCATTGAGCTGAAGTGGTCTGGGTGCCTATAGTGGTCCTTTATGCCCTCACTTACCATTTCTATCTATTAGCAGTGTTAGACTATTTTGCTTCAAAATGACTGTTGTGCACAAGGTGATGATTACAGAAGAAAAGCTGAGGATTTGACACCTAGACACGCTCTTTGTGTCTACAAAGATCTACTTATACGATAAGCTCAGCTGGACTTCCTTGTTTGATAAAAGTTCACTTCAGAATCAGCAAATTCCGGAACTTCGAATAGGGCATCGTTTCAAATTTGTTAATTTCCCCTCAAATCAACATGGATAGATAGATGCATAAACAAGGTATCCCAACCGTTCCGATTACGTAAACCTGGAGTATTTCTCAGAGATTATTTTTCTAGATTGTGCTAGAGTTTTTTTGGACTAGTATCTACTATTTCCTCCTTAGCGTTATTGATTCTGGAT